TGTGTTCACCATCTTGCCTAATCAGTCTGTCCCAGGATGTCTTTGTTCACTTATTTATTTTTGAAAGATATTCTTCCAGTGGTAAAAACAGACTGCCTATAAAACAGGATGTGAGAAAAAGAGATGATGTTCAGCATAATTAGCTAAGTAACAGTATTAGTAAGGGCATTTGGAACGTCAAAACTGCAGCTGGTCACAAATAGCACACTTCTGTTCAGGAAAACAGCAGAGAATGTGTCAGCCTCCTCCAAAGCTAAGACAAATCCAGTAGACTCTCGTCTTCTCTGAAGGAACGCATGACTGAAGGTCTGGGAAATAAGAGGCTTCATTATCACAGCAGGCCAGGGGTCTCATACTTTTTGAGCAAATATAAAGCTTCAAATAAAGTGACAAGAGTATGGTGAATGGGGAACCGGTTTTATTAATTTAAGAATGGGTAGTCTAAAATGAGGGCCGTACCCAAACGTCCACTAACTCTTGAAACACAAATATAATCCAGTATTTGTGTTCAAATGCATGTCCATTTTGCAGCAGAGCAATCTATAGCATTCCTCAGACACTCAGAAAAAAAAGCATAACCCTAAAAGAAGGGTTAAGAACAAGTAGTGCTACGTTATCATCATCTTTTATTTAACAAGTTTCTACACAGTATTCTGCATAGAAAACTATGAAATGTTCTATTTCTATTCTATGGAGCTCATGACTAAGCTGACGCCTCTAGCTAGACAATCACATGTCAACATCTCATTAGATCTCACAGGCCAGGCTGTAAGATGGGGGGTGAGGACTACCTAAGGAGCTTCATAGTGGGCTTCCTGCTTCATCACCACGGCAACCTTGCACTGCTGTGCTGCATACACTGATTTAATACAAATGTGAAGGGAAGTCCCTACTCATAGTTCCTGGAGAACACGACTCCAGTGAGAGATGATACGTGATTTGGGGGGCTTGGCTACATTCACACTGAAACCAAATGAATGGGTGGTAATCAATCGATCATAGGAACAATATGTTTCTTTTAAATCTAGAAGCTTTTTTTTATTTTTATTTTTTTAATTTTATTTTGCTGACTACATGGTAGCTCTCATCTCTCTACTTCTTTTTACTGAATATCTAAAATTTACCTAAAACTAGATTGAAAATTAAATATAGACGTAGTTTGGCTCAAAGATCAAATATTGAAAACAATAAGGTGAGAATACAGAACTACTTATATTAAAGGTAACAACTTAATAAATTCATCTCATAGTCTGATCAGTATAGTATCTAATGAGGCAAGGGTTGGCAAGTTACAGTCGACATGCCTTACAGGGCTTACCACTTGTTTTTGTGTGTACCGCAAGCTAAAATTCGTTTTTACTTTTTTTAAATGGCTGGGAAAAATCAAAAGAATATGTCATGACACATGAAAATTATGTGAAATTCAAATTTCAGTGCCATTCATTCATTTACATATTGTCTCTGGCTGCTTTTGCGATAAACGGCAGAGTTGAGCAGCTGCAGCTGAGACCCCATGGCCCACACAACCTGAAATACTGACTCTGGCTCTTTATGGAAAAGTTACCTGAGCTCTGTGCCTGGTTCCTCTCCTATATCTACTTTATAAGGGTCTCTGTGAGGACTAGAGAGTGTAAAAAGTTAAAACGTGAACAGAAGCACAGAAGTTCAAGGAAGCCATTGTGACGACTGTTGCTGCTGCTGTCTGCAGTAAACGTGACCACACTGATGTGTCTTTACTAGACTGAGCACTGCACCTGCTTGAACCTCTCTGGAAACCAAGGCTGACACTAATTTACAGTTTCACCAACTCTAAATGTTATCTTTTCATTAGTTGGTCATAATACTTTAAAAAATTGTCCCAGTCTCCTTCCCAAATGAAGACAGTCTTCAATCACTGTGACACTGTAACGGCCATTAATTAGAAGTTTAGCTCAAAGGATAGTCATTTTTAAAGTTAGTATCTTGTTCTACGCTCATTTTTCAAAATCATTTTCAAAAATGCATCCCAGTTAGAAACTCTGGCAAGTGAGATGATATATTCCAGATTTTGCTCCCTTTTTGACAGATAATTAAGCTAGGACTCATAGGGTCAAGCTACTTTTTCGAAGCACAGGCAACGCTTAATTAAAGTGAACATTTGCTGACTTGTATTTGGACTTTGGCTTTGCAGTAATCCACCTGCAGATTTTTCAAACAAAAGCTTTTGAACTTATTGGTCTGACCTAAAATCCAAAAGTTTCTAGTCATGTAAGTAGACAACTTACCATGACAATTTTTCTTGGTCACAATGCTCTTACTTCATTTAGAAATGCCACAAAGACATCCACTTAATGCATTAAATAAGAAAAGACTTGCTGAAGAGACTCAGTTTATTAAAGATTCAGTAGAACTTCCTAAAGCATCTATTTGGAATTCATTTATTATTCATTCTACAGCTTAGCTGCAGTTCCCACAGGGTAAATATTTATCAAAAATTACTCTGTTTTACAGCCTCTCTTTACATTTATTTGTAGAATACTTTTTTCCCGCCAAATAAAGGCTAAACTTCCTAAAAGCATCCATCCATCTATTGTAATTTAAGATAAGGTGGCAATAATGGGCTTTCAGATATAACAGAGCATACTGTGTAACCAAACAAAAGAATAATTATTAAACATAATAGCTAGCTTTAAATTGAACAAGATACACTGAATACATCATAAATATTTATTTGAGAGCAACCATGGTAATTAATAAACCTAGTAATCAACACAGAGAGAAAAGAGCATCTTAAAACCCTGCCACGGCAAGAAAAACTTCACAACTCACCTACCTACCAATGAACCACATGACTAAAAATTAATATTTTCAGTGTGAAAATCTGACAACCTAGCTTGACTAGTACAAGTGAATTTATGAAAGAGAGAGAGTATCGTGAGTCAGGCTGCCCACTGTCCCATTCCCCCACAGTGAACAATTTATGGTCTCCAACTCCAATGGCTTATAACAGCTACAGTGCAGTTTCTAAAATGTATAAAACATGGGCTTTGGAGTTAGAAACATCTAACTCCTTGAAAGCTTGGTCAAATTACTTAAGTTCTCCATGCCAACTGCACAGTAGAAATAACACCTCTCGAAAAGAGTTGTGAAGAAAAAGACGTGATATATGACATACTTAGCTGAGTGCCTGGAACAAAGTACACATTCATACCAGAGTCTTCCTTCTGTACACCATGACTACTCTGATACCCCGTCACATCCACCACTGCTATTACTTCCACTGCTGCAACCCTGAGCAACATTACTTCCCCCCACTTCTCTTGGCCAGGATATTATTAGAAGGCACATATAAACAATAATAATTCAGATTCTTTGGATCTAAAGTATATTAGGTCCACTAGAATAGCTAATAAAACAAAAACAAAACAAAACAAAAAAACAGTCAGTAACAAGTGTTGGTGAAGATATACAGAAATGGGGACCCTCATACACTGCTCCAAGAAAGTAAAATTATACAGTGACTTTGGAAAACATTTTTGGTGGTTCCTCAAAATGTTAAACAGAGTTACCATATGACCCAGCAATTCCACTCCTAGGTACATACCCAAGAGAAATGAAAACATTTGTCCATACAAAAACATATGAGAGTATTTCCAAAAGTTCACGAAAAATGGAATTAAAAGATAATACGAATCTTTCCATGAACTCTCTGAAGAGCCCTCCTACATGAATGTTCATAGCAGCATTTTTCAAAATAGTCAAACGTAAAGTGGCACACAATGTCCATCGCTACTAAGTGGATAAACAAAATGTGGTGGGGCCACATGCTGGAATATCGTAAGCTTAACCAAGTGGTGACTCCAATTGCAGCTGCTGTACCAGTTGTGGTTTCATTGCTTGAACAAATGAACACATCTCCAGGTCCTGGTATGCACTATTGATTTGGCGAGTGCCTTTTTCTCCATCCCTGTCCATAAGGCCCACCAGAAGCAGTTTGCTTTCAGCTGGCAAGGCCAGCAATACACCTTTACTGTATTACTTCAGGTGTATATCAACTCTCCAGCCCTATGTCACAATATAGTTCACAGGGATCTTGATCACCTTTTCCTTCCACAAGACATTATGCTGGTCCATTATATTGATGACATTATGCTGATTGGACCTAGTGAGTGTGAAGTAGCAACTGCTCTGGACTTATTGGTAAGACATTTGCATGTCGGAGGATGGGAAATAAATCCAACTAAAATTCAGGGGCCTTCTACCTCAATTAAATTTCTAGGGGTCCAATGGTGTGGGGCATGTCGAGATATCCCTTCTAAGGTGAAGGATAAGTTATTGCATCTGGCCCCTCCTACAACCAAGAAAGAGGCACAGCACCTAGTGGGCCTATTTGGATTTTGGAGGCAACACATTCCTCACTTAGGTGTGTTACTCCAGCCCATCTACCAAGTGACAAGAAAGGCTGCTAGTTTTGAGGGGGGCACAGAGCAGGAGAAGGCTCTACAACAGGTCCAGGCTGCTGTGCAAGCTGCTCTGCCCCTTGGGACATATGATCCAGCAGACCCAATGGTCCTTGAAGTGTCAGTGGCAGATAGGGATGCAGTACAGAGCCTTTGGCAGGCCCCTATAAGCGAATCACAGCAGAGACCCTTAGGATTTTGGAGCAAGGCCCTGCCATCATCCGCAGATAACTACTCCGCTTTTGAGAAACAGCTCTTGGCCTGCTATTGGGCCTTAGTAGAAACTGAATGCTTGACTGTGGGCCACCAAGTTACCATGCAACCTGAGCTGCCCATCATGAACTGGGTGTTATCTGACCCAGCAAGTCATAAGGTTGGGCGTGCACAGCAGCACTCGATCATCAAATGGAAACGGTATATACATGATCGGGCCCAGGCAGGTCCTGAAGGCACAAGTCAGTTACATGAAGAAGTGGCCCAAATGCCCATGGTTCCTACTCCTGCTACACTGCCTTCTCTCCCCCAGCCTGCACCTGTGGCCTCATGGGGAGTTCCCTGTGATCAGCTGACAGAGGAAGACAAGGCTAGAGCCTGGTTTACAGCTGGTTCTGCACGATATGCAGGCACCACCCGAAAGTGGACAGCCGCGGCACTGCGCCCCTTTTCTGGGACATCCCTGAAGGACGGTGGTGATGGGCAAATCTTCTCAGTGGGCAGAACTTCGGGCAGTGCACTTGGTTGTGCACTTTGCCTGGAAGGAGAAGTGAGCAGATGTCCGATTATAGACTGATTCATGGGCCGTAGCCAGTGGTTTGGGCGGATGGTCAAGGACTTAGAACATGATCAGAAAATTGGTGAGAAAGAAATTTGGGGAAGAGGTATGAGAATGGTCCTCTCAGAGTGGGCAAAGGATGTGAAGATATTTGTTTCCCATGTGAATGCCCATCAAAAGGCGACCTCAGCAGAGGAGGACTTTAATAATCAGGTGGACAGGATGACCCGTTCTGTGGGTACTAGTCAGCCTTTCTCCAGCCACCCCCGTCATTGCTCAGTGGGCTCATGAGCAAAGTGGCCATGGTGGCAGGGATGGAGATTACGCATGGGCTCAGCAACATGGACTTCCACTCACCAAGGCCGATCTGGCTACAGCGACTGCTGAGTGCCAAATCTGCCAGCATCAGAGACCAACACTGAGCCCACGATATGGCACCATTCCCCAGGGTGATCAGCCAGCCACCTGGTAGCAGGTTGATTACACTGGACCGCTTCCATCATGGAAGGGGCAGCGTTTTGTCCTTACTGGAATAGACACTTACTCTGGATATGGATTTGCCTTCCCAGCACAAAATGCTTTTGTCAAAACTACCATCCGTGGACTCACAGAATGCCTTACTCACCGTCATGGCATTCCACACAGCAGTGCTTCTGACCAAGGAACTCACTTCACAGCTAAAGAAGTACAGCAGTGGGCTCATGCTCATGGAATTCACTGGTCTTACTGTGTTCCCCATCGTCCTGAAGCAGCCGGTCTGATAGAACGGTGGGATGGCCTTTTGAAGTCACAGTTACAGCACCAGTTTGGTGTGAATACCCTGCAGGGCTGGGGCAAAGTCCTCCAGCAAGCTGTATAAGCTCTAAATCAGCGCCCAATATATGGTACAGTCTCTCCCATAGCCAGGATTCACAGGTCCAGGAATCAAGGGGTGGAAACGGAAGTGGCACCACTAACCATTACCCCCAGGGACCCATTAGCAAAACTTTATGCTCTACTGGTCTAGAGGTCTTAGGTCCAGAGGGAGGAATGCTTCCATCAGGAGACACAAAACTGATCCCATTGAACTAGAAGTTGAGGCTGCCACCTGGACACTGTGGGCGCCTCATGCCTCTGAATCAACAGGCTAAGAAAGGAGTGACCGTGTTGGCTGGGGTGACTGACCCAGACCACCAAGGGGAAGCTGGACTACTGCTTCACAATGGAGGTGAGGAAGATTTTATCTGGAACACAGGAGATCCCTTAGGATGTCTCTTAGTACTACCACGCCCTGTGACTAAGGTCAATGGAAAATTACAACAACCAAATCCAGACAAGACTACGAACGGCCCAGACTCTTCAGGGATGAAGGTTTAAGTCACTCCACCTGGTAAAGAACCACGACCCGCTGAGGTGCACGCTGAAGGCAAAGGGAACACAGAATGGGCAGGAGAAGAAGGAAGTTATAAATACCAGCTCTGACCATGTGACCGGTTACAGAAACGAGGGTTGTAATTGGTCTCCCTGCTGTGTTAAGAATATGTCTCTATGTGTATATACTGTACACATATTAAGTAATTATCTTTCTTTTTGTTCCTCTTGTTCTCTATCATGTACCATGAGACTTACTGACTTTACACCAGCATTTAAATGTTGTTAACCTTACTTCATAGTATTTGAAATTTTAAGTCATGGGATATTGGGAGAAGGGTAAATATATCATTTAAGGACTTTACCTTTTTCTTCTTGGAAAGGGATTAATGCATTTCCAGTTGTACACCGGATAGTGTATCATGTTAGGCGAAACTATTCTGTTATTGTACCATTTGAAAATTAAGTGTGATTTAAGGAGATAGTATGGACACCAAGTTGACAAGGGGTGGACTTGTGAAGGTTAATTCTAGGTGTCCACTTGGTTAGATGAAGGAATGCTGAGAAGCCTGGTAAAGCTATCTTTTTAGGTGTGTCCGTGAGGGTGTTTCCAGCAGAGAGTCTGATTGGATTGGGTGGGAAAGACTCACCCTCAGTGTGGGTGGGAACCATCCGATCTGCTGGGGGTTCAGAGAGAACAAAAGACAGAGGGAAAAGGTGGAGCTCTCTCTCTCTATCTGCTGGAGCTGGGATACACTCTTCTCTCCTGTCTGTGGACATCAGAGCTCGAGACTCTTCAGCTTTTGGGTTCCAGGACTTACACCAAGGACACCATCAGCTTCCCTGGTTTTGAGGCCTCTGGATTTGGACTGAGCCATGCTACTGGGCATCCAGTTTATCGGCAGCCTATCGTGGAACTTTTCTTCACAGTCACGTGGGCTAATTTCCCTAATAAATCCCTCTCATATAATTATAATGTATCCTATTGATTCTGTCTCTCTAGAGAATCCTGACTAATACACTGAGAAACAGAAAGGAGCTGACACATGCTGTGACAAGGGTGAACCTGAAAATACCAGGCCAGATGAAAGAAGCCAGGCACAGACAATCATGTGTTATAGGACTGTTTATATGAAATGTCCAGAACAGGCAAGTCCACAGACGCAGAAAGTAGATTAGTGATTGCCAAGGCTGGGGGCTGGGGGGACAGAATGAGTAGTGACTGCTAATGGGTACAAGGTTTCTTTTGGGGGGCGTTCTAACTGATTGGTGATCATTGCACAACTTGGTGAATATACTCAAAACCATTGAATTTGATGATATGTAAAAAAGCTGTTACAAAAGTAGGACTAATAAAGCACGTACAGGTGTATCTGGAGAGGGGCAGAGAAGAATCACCTCAGTCTTTTGTGGGTATTCTGAGCTCTGCCTGGGAATGCCAGTGCCACCATGTACTTCCAGGCAGGACAGGCAATGCAGGCTCAGGCACAAATGGCAAAGTGGAGTGGGGTCACGGGTGGTCTCAACTCCCCCACAGGTCTTGCACATCTGTTCTCCCACTATGAAGTGGGTTATTTAAGATAAAAATTAGAATATGAGTAGAAGGGGGTAGGAAGATTATAAAATCTAGAGTTGAAAGTCGGTGTCTGAAAACCGTTGTTAAAACCCTGTTCCGCTATATACTAGCTAGTAACACTGGACCAATATTTAACCTCTCTGACCTTTGGTTTCCTCATCTATAAAATGGATATAATAACAGTACCTTATCTCACATGGCTGCAGTGAGGACACACAGACGCATTAATACATTAAGCCCTTCAAACAGTGTCTGACAAAGACTAAGTGCCATCGTCATCGTTATTGCCTTTATTGATGGAGTTCTTGTTGTCAGACCAGGCTGACTCTCCCCTGACAGTCAAGCACAGCCATGTGGCACCATCACATAAGCTCCTGTTAACATTCCGCAGGGGAATTCCAATCAAACTCCCTGATTTCTTCACCAAGGAGGGTGGGCTTGTTCCTTGCCCAACCACTGATGACAATTTCTTCCATGAGGCCCTTTCATTAACACAGAAAATAAATACACCCAGGGGGAGAAGCACAGGGAATGTGCACCAACTAATGATAGCAGCAACTACCACTGGAGTATGTATAAAAAAGAGCCAGGCACAGTTTTAGGAATTTTACATACATGACCTCACTGAATTTTTGCAACAAGCCTATGAGGTAGGTATTATCAACCCCATCACTTCCCAGATAAGAAAAGTTCAAATAAGTTGAGTAACTTCGCTAAGTAACAGTCAGAGCTGGAATTCAAACTGAGATCAGTTTTATCCTACGGCACTTTCTGATACATGATGTTGAATTAGGTTTCCAATGAAAGAGAAACGAGGAAAGGAATTAAGAATGAGGAAAGAGTGCTTTTTGACCAACGCGATCAGTTTTTACATATTCTAGTAACAGTCAGAATGCGAAAGTACACGCACATTCAGTGTCATTCACTCCTCCACTCTCTCCTTCATTCATTCACACATATATTAAGCATCTATTATATTCCAGTGACAAAAATAGGCTATCGACTTTAAAAGAGAAAGTTACAGAACAATATGATTGACACATTTATAGAGGAACAGAGGAATATGCTGGGTAAAGATTAGAAAAGCTTCAATGCTTTCTCAACTGGCAAAGACCATCCTCTACCTTCAATCTCCTTAAACCAGAATTCAGAGAAAAAGCCAGATGCTCTCATTCAATGTCTTTTTTTTTCCTTAGGAACAATGATGAATGGAATTTTAAGCCATTACTTCTATCTCTTCTCTATATTCAGAAAATTTCTGGCCCACAGACAACCTCCTCCCTCCTACCTCCTGGGGCAAGACAAGTATCTACTCAACTGTGGGAAGAACTGAAGGAGGGTGCAGAGTGGAGAAGGGTCCACGGCAGGACCCCCCGAGATAAGCTGCAAGAGGTCGGAGGCTGTGCGTGAGACCTCAAGCACCCCATGAGCACAAGACGCTACGTCGGTTGCAAGACTGATATATTCTGACAGACTGACTGGTATGTAGAAAAAATTCATTTCACATTTTATGAAGCACCATTTCACAGGGGAGAGAGCACGACTTGCATCTTAATTTAGCCCTAAAATACTAAAGGGATTTCCATTATGCCCACGACCACAGAGGTAACTATTACAGCGCTAATCCTTTCAGAGGTACCAGATACTTTTCCTCCAATAAAGGACAAACCAATTACCATGAAAAAAGAATAACGAGAAGATACGTGAAATATTTCTTTGGAAGGATCAGCTAAATGCTTGGAGATTTAAAAAGATCAATGTTGAGATGGTAAATAAGAAATACAATAAGTTCATTTTAGGAGCCGAAGTTTTTCAAACGATACTTTAAGGCAATAGGCTAATCCAATAACGTTCACACAATAAGGTGGCAACAAATGATCAATTAGCTACTATGGTAGGTATTTTCTGAATAACAAAGAAGTGTCTGTCAATTAAAATTCTAAGTAAGATTTGATGTGCTAGTAAGATTGAGCTTTTCCTAGAACTGCAATAATTTTAAAATAAAATTTAATGACAGTATATGACTGGATTTACAAAGCCATTATGATATCCAAGTAATTTTCATAGTAAATGCTGTCAGAGTAAAAATAAACAGCCACAAATAAATAGGAACTTAAGCAATATGCTTAAAATTAAGTTTAAAACATGACATTAATAACAAGGTATTATGAAAGAAGATACCTATAATATATTACGGCTAAATAGAGTTTAACACAGTTATAGTGTTTATTTGTCAGAAGAATGAAGGACATCGACGATACGTGCTCTTGAAAATCTACGGCCAGGCCAGACACTCCTCTCTCAATTTCAGTAAGATGTATGTACTTATTATTCTCTATAAAATTAGTTAGATACTGTTTTCAAATTAGGGATATAGCAGATATGATTCCTTTTCATTATATTAAACTATAGATAAATAGCTTAATATAATAAAGTTAAATACAAACAGTGCCTATTAAAATTCATTGACTTCAATCCTTTTATTATTATTAAACTGTGCTTGGGTAGAAAATAATTTTTAAACTGTTATATGTTGTAAAAGATTTAATGAATTCCACAGATGCTTTCAGCTGTCTGTATTTAAAAAAAAAAAAAGCAGCTTTCATTTCAGGAAAATTTCATTTTGAAGATGCGTGTATTTTTTTAAAAACATGTTATGAAAAAGAACAGTATAGAAATCTAACTATTAATCAAATCTTTAATTCAAAATAGAACCTTCTGTATTAGCTTTTTGGTTTTTTTAATTCTTTATTTGTTTTTAATTTTTTTATTTGATATTTTTAATGTTTTTACTTGATAAAGTAGAAAACAAAGATTTAATTGTTCTTGGTAGGATGTTTAATAACAAAAATTTCAAGAAGAATCTGATAATGCCAACAAAAAAAAGGCTAAAAAAAAAAAAAGAAATGAAATGAACTGACAGTGAAAGTCTAAACAGCAAATCCAAACAGAAATGCATTAGGATCCCTCTCGAAGTCAGTCGCATCTAATCTGCAGATTTCCCACTTCACATATGCATCAGCTGGAAATCTCTCTGCCCAAAAACATAACTAGAAATTAAGCCAGTAGTTTTATTCTTCTACTGCTCCAAGAAATTGGAGCCTCTGATGCCAGCCTCTTGTGTGTTATGCTGCCACCCTGTCTTAAGGATCCTATTATTTCTAGTCCCAACTTGGCTAAGGTCAGTCTTCAAGGTCAGATCCAGAATGTTCCCTCCTCCTCCCAGAAAACTATGGAGCAGGTGAACAAAAATTGAGGAAGGTAAAGGGAATGGGAGGGTAGGAGAAACAGAAGAAACATCAGATAAAATACCAGTGTGCTAGCATAATTATTTAAAACCTGTACCTTTACTCTTTGGTCATCAACATCTATAATCGTAGCAACACGAATTAACCTGGGATTTCGTTTATCCACAACTTCAAGTTTCATATTTGGCAGAAAACCATGAGGCAACCTCTGTAACATTATAAATGCAACAAATTATGCAATACTCAATAATTCAGATATTCTACTATTTTTTTCTAAAATATTATTACTTTAGTTTTAACATGCAGATCTTTAATATAATTGGAATTTAATTTTAAAAGCACAAAGGACTTTATGCATATTATTTTATCCAGTTTCACAAAAACCTGTGTGAACAGAAAGCACTTTTTCATCATTTTAAAGATAGGTTAAAAGACAAAGACTGATTAAATCCTAAATTAGTTAATGATCACAGGTTCAAAAAAGATCTTATTACAGTTTATATATTAGTTTAGATTTTTTCTTTTTTTCTCAAATTAACCTTATAAATTAAGAAATTATTGACTATTCTCACTGCCCAGTTTAGAAGTATAAGGTCTAGAAGACAAAACTACTTAACAAATAATTAGAGAGGGTAAACATGATCCTTTCAAATCTAAACTTTAAAATATGCTTAGTAAAAGCTGCATAATTTCAACTGATGAACTGTTTTAAAATCATACCATGATGTAATTTAAAGTCATAATCTGTGCTTTTTCACTTCATCTATAACATTAGAGGGTTGAACTGTGTTGTTTTCTTTCAAGTCTTAAAATGCTAGGAATCAAGAGTCTATAATGATAGATACATAGGCAATAATTTTTTAAAAAATGAAATAGGAAAGTAGACACTGGGACTTACCAAATCATTGAAACTAAGGAAATTTCACTATCAAAAATCAAAGTCAAAAGACAACTTTGACAATTTTTATAGGTTGGCAAAAAGTTTCACTTTGAAAGCTATTACACATAAAAGTATTCAACTGACTTTATTGGAAATGAAAGTGTATTGGGCCGGCCTGGTGGTGCACTCGGTAGAGTGCGGCGCTTGGGAGTGCGGCGGCGCTCCCGCCGAGGGTTCAGATCCCATATAGAGACCAGTCCGCTCACTGGTTGAGCACAGTGCGGGTGCAACACTGAGGGTTGCGATCCCGTTACCGGTCACAAAAAAAAGACAAAAAGGAAATGAAAGTGTATTGAATTCTTCAAGTCCAGAAATAGCAATAGGAAAACAAAACCCTGCAAGTACATAAGTAATAAACAGATCTTTCCCTAATATCTAGGATGTTTCTCTCCAGCCTTTGTGGAAGCATATTTTCTTTCTAAAATGCATAATTACATGTACTAAATGGAGTATACTGACTACAAGTAGGTCTCTGGTCCCTGAACATATTTCTGTTCTCCCCAAGTTCACTTTCCTGAACAACAAGATAATTGCTTAATATTAAAATAGCATTTTGTTTCAAACCCCTTTTGATCCCTTGGAAACTTCCAGTAAATACAATCATATGCAGTAGCCTAACATATAAAATTGTGATTAAAGACAAGTCAGGGAGCCTGGAGCACACAATTAGAATCGAAAGGGAACAGAGTTTGAAAACCCCTGGCTTAGAACATAAAAATCTCTAACTGTACTACCTATGTACTTTCTTTTACAAATTAATTTATACTTAGTTCAACCCTGGAAAAAGTACAGAAGTACAAATGTGAACTTTATTTATTTATTTATTTATTTTGTCTTTTTTCGTGACCGGCAACGGATCGCAACCCCCAGTGTCGCGCCCGTACCGGACAGGGACCGGCAACGGGATCGCAACCCTCGGTGTTGCCCCTGCTCCTCGCTCAGCCAGTGAGCGGCCGGTCTGTATGTGGGATCCGAACCCTCGGTGGGAGCGCCGCTGCGCTTCCCAAGCGGCGCACTGTAGCAGTGCGTCACCGGGCCAGCCCCAAATGTGAACTTTAAAAATCAGTATGCTAACAAATGCTAAAAGAAATGTTTGCCCCAAAATGAATAAAACTATACACACAAAGACTACATTCATTTCATCTATTTTATTATGTCAAAGTTGACACTGAAATAGTCCCTAAAACAGTAATACTGTAAAAACTGAATTTCCCATTCAGGGGACTAAAAGAACGGGAAACGCAAGGACTCAATCATCAGCAGTTGATGAGGTGCTTTCAACGGTACTTCTGGTGTGCAGCCACCGTGGTTTTCAAGGAAAGAAACCATCACCACAGGAACAACAGCAAATGAGTCACCTACTTTGTATTTTTAAATAAAAGCAAAGCAAACTGGTTTTGGAAATACCATTTGAATTTAAAAAGAAAAATCTAGAATAATTTAAAACTGTCAAATGAAGGCATGACTCAACATGGACATTGTTTAAAGGTGAGAGTATATACCTACATAGAACTTACCATTTTAAAAACTTTGGCAGGAACTGCATTAGTTTGAGTAGCTTCCAGATATTCTGTCCAGGAAAAATTTTCTGGATCAGGATAACCTGAAAATGTATATGTGTGAATATCAAAAGATTACTCACAGATATTCGGGTTCCCGTATACTACAAAATATTTGATAATGTAACACCTACTGTTACTGAATGTTCATTATTTAGCAGACCCAATGCTAAGAACTTCACATATGTTATCTCATTTAGGACTTATGACAGCCTCAGAAGTCTAAGGCATTCCTGCATGCAAGCACTCATTCACTACTTCATTCAATCACCCCTCAAGGTTAAACAGGTTGGCCAAGGTCAAACAGCAATCAATGTGAGTACTCTGGCAGAGTGAGGTGACACCCGGGTCTCTGACTCCCCAGCTCCATCAGAAGACTCCTTAGAAATGTGAATAAATTCACTATCAACTATCCGATCTCAAACCAGGAGTGGGGAAAAAAAAGACAGTCTTTCCAGTTCTGTGTTTTTACTCTATGGTTTTATTTTCACTATCAAATCTTCGTAATTATAATTTCTCAAAATTGCTATTTATCACTGTAATTTAAAAATACATATTGGTATAAGATGGTGTAACACACTCTATTTATTTAAAATTTTCTTCTAGCTGGGTTTCTTGTTTTTATGTTTGTGTTCTTTACTCCTAATTACATTTGCTAGAGATCTGTCTATATAGTGTTGTTTTCTTTACCCTTTTAGGGAATAACTACTTAGATTATTCATCAGCTCTGTTGTTTTCTTTTCTTTTTCTTTTCTAATTATTTTGTTTGCTGCTTTTACTCTTATTACTTCCCTCCTCCTACTTCCCTTACATTTATTTTATATTTGTCTTGTCAAATTGAATTTTAACCATAATTTATTTCCACTTTTTAAAATTAACAGAAGGACTTAAGACTGTGAACTTGCCACTGCTGCCACTGAATGCAGCTTTAGACAGCCGGACAAACTTCTATAAAGTACATATTTTTCTCACCTTTACTTTCTAAAAAACAATTGTAATTATAGTATGTGCTTGCTGCCTTAATTTCATCATTGTCCAAATACAGTATTTATTTGAGATATTCCAAGTGGTTACTTTTTGTAGTTGTTTAAAATGTTAATAATATCTAGTTTACCACACTGAAGTTTCAGAATGTATACAGTTCCCGCTTTGGGGACTTGAAGATTTCTTCTTGGTGTAATACAAGATCAACAAAAAATTTTTTAAAGTGTATATTATATAGGTTTTAAGGTATAGTATCCATATGCATTACTATAATCTAGCTATATTATTCAAAAATCTACTTTTTAAGCAGTAGGCCTGACGCAGTATGCTAAAGTCTCTAAAATAACTATTTTTTTGTACAATTCTCCACTATGAGTATTTCTGATCATTTTTCATTTTTAAACTTTTTACTAAAATAAAATATATTTAAAGAAAAGTCCAGAAATCAATTGGACAGCCTGACTATTTTTCACAAAACTATCATCCCAGCACAACCAGACCCAGATCAAACCCAGAGCATCCCCAGACGCCTGGCCCCTCCACATCGCACTCCCTTCCAGTCACAGCATCCCTCTCCTCAAAGAGAAATCTGGCCCTGGCTTCTAATTGTGGAGACTAGTTTTGCTGCTTCTGTTCTTTTCCTTCGGATAATGAAATCACGCAGCATGTGCTCACTTGTGGCGGACGCCTTATGCAGCATTCTGACTGTGAAGGTCAGGTAGCTCGTTGCATGCAGAACATTCGTTTTCGTTGTTGTATAATATTCCATTACATGAGAACTTCACAATTCATTTATCTATTCTACTGATGATGGTCATTTGAGTAGCTCCCATTTGGGAGCTATTATGGAAAGTGCTGCTAAGAAATTCTTTTTGGTGACCAGAAGTACACATTTCTGCTGGAGCGCATCCAGGAGTAAAGCTGCTGGTCATAAGGTACTCTGCCTCATATTTTGATGTTACAATATTCAGCATATATCATATGTGTATTCACTATAAATCGCGCCTTTTATTTAATATAAAGGATATTTCCCTTTCGGATACATTTTTTACATTTTGCCTCAAATTCTTCCTTTTACTAAAATTATATCGTCACTCTGTTATTGTCTGTTTGTGTCTGCCTGATAAAATTTTGCCATCATTTTTACTTTCATATTATTTTGTTTCAGGTATATCTATTTTAATCACCTTCTAAATGCAGTTTTAAAATCATTTACATTTGCTTTCATCACTAGTTTGCTTTATCTAATTTCTGTACACATACTTTAAGCTGGATCCTTTTTCAAAGGTCTCTTGCTTTCTGTCCTTTTCTACACGAGCTATATCTCTTATGTTTCAATAAGTATTTCTGAAGTTGCATTTACTTTTATAGCTCATAGTTTTAAAAATTATCCAAACCCATTCCTTGTATATTTTATCTCCACATTTCTGCATGGTTTCTGAACTATGCCCACACCTGGCCCTTTCAGCATTGGGGTTCCCCACCCAGGCACCTGACCAGAAGAGTCAGTGGGATGGAGGCAAAAGAAACCGCACGGGGAGGGCTGAAGAATGGACACAAGGTGAGTGAGAGGCAGCAATCAGTCCTGCCCCAGCCTGGTAAAGAAACCTGGATACTGTTGTAAGAGGCACTCTCCCTTTCCCCCTTTTTGTGACCAGCAAGTGGAAATAAAAGGCTGTGACTGTTTTAAGGGTTCTTAAGCAACAGTTGCCTCTGTGCCACTCTCCATAAATAAGCTAAGCATGTGCAAAAATGGAAAAACATGTATTACCTGTATGTCCCCTGTTCAATGAACCCAAGGAAGAGAAGAATGTCTATGGCCTAGGGAGACTTGCAAAAGCCACTGACTCCCACTTTTCTCCTCCTGACCCCAGCCCTGAGACATGGTAGGCCTTGGAAGACCAGAAGCAGGATTGCAGAGGAAGAGGCAGGGACCAGATCCATTCCCAGACCAGTGTGGAAATACCACAACAGGAGCTTTTCAAAAGCTTAACTTCCTACTTGAAACAAGAAAGAAACATATGAGACACCCATGGAACAACAATAATAGCCTTGAACCTCTTCACTCCTCTCAAAGAAAACCAACCTCTAACTGGCTTCCATTTATGGGTAAGCACTGTACTAAGTACTTCATTCACATTAAGTCATTTGTTCCTCACACAAACCTATAAAGTACACCTTCTTTTATAGGTGGAGCTAGAGGGCTTGAACATCTGCCCAGTGTTCCACAGTTAGGAAGTGGAAGAAATGGGATTAGAACAATTATGTCTGACTCCACTACCCTTACACGTAATCACGGCTTCCCCCCAGCATTGAAAACCCAGAGCACCTGCCCTCCTGTGATGGGGCGCGGGGCGGGGCATCCTCTAGGCCTCAGGACTGAGAGTTTGTGCTCCCCCTATAGGCCAAAGAGTGGTATTGCAAGGGTGGGGGCGGGAGTACGCACAGCTGCACTGGAGACTGGGGTATATATACATCCTGTTTAAATGCATTTATTCCCACCTCATTCCACACTATTTAGACTTTAGAGATTCAGAGATAGGCAATCCCTGAAGAAAAATGAAGTCTCACCTGCAGCTGTGGGTATGAGTGGCAAGGGACCAGCGTCACAGAAGTGGGGATGGAGCTACAGAAATAGGGAATGGCCATGCAGCCTGTGGATTTCTCCATGGTGCCAGAAAATCTGTGGGTGAATACGAAGATCCAGGGGACAAATGTCTTCGATTAATGTTGGGGAATGGTGAAAAGGCGACTAGATAGCGGCAAAAGAAGGGCGAGGTACGGTGGCATAGAATAGAACAGCCCGAGCCCTCAGGGAGGGGACTTTTCTACACAGCTGAGCGTTGCTTTAGAAGAAGCAGGAGGGCTACTTGGGACGTGGCAGGATAAGCCGCCTCCTTCACACGCTGCAGGGAGGTGGTGGCCTCAGGAGGGGCAATGGAGAAGGCTCTGTGTGAAGAACCTGGGATCTATGCTGGTCATTTCCAGAGGCTGGAGTGCAAAGGACTTAGGGTCAAGAAAAAGTCCTTCTGGATGATAACAATAAGGGATAGGAGCAAAAAAGGAAAAACTCAAGGGTCAAACTAAGTTAAAGCATCCCTACATCATGCCATTCCAGTGGCTTCCTACATCACTCAGGAAAAAGTAAGTCCTCACAGCAACCTACAGGCTATTACACAACTTGGCCCATTACTGCTCTGACCTGTCCTCCTTTCACGCCTCTCCTGCTGTAACCAGAACACAGCAGCAGTCCTCCTTCCTCAAGCTCTCGCACTTGCTGGTCCGTTACCTGGAAAGCTCTTCCAGATTTCCTCCAGACTTGCCCCTCCTCCTCTATTAAGTCCTTCCTCAAGTGTCCCATTCTCAATATGTCCTTCCCTGAGCACCCCACATACTGTGGAGCCCCCTTTTCCAGGTATATACACCCTTCCTGACCCCACTACCTGCCTAATTTTTCTCCATTGCATTCATCACCTCCTAACATACTGTATGTTTTATTTACACTTTATTGCCTGTCTTGCTCCATTAGAGCATAAGCTGCCTTATGATAAGACTTCGTTACTTCACTACTATTTCCTCACAGCATGAGGCTGGCACTCAATAGGTACATGGTGAATATTTGGTGAATGAAAGAAATGTACTTGCTGAGAAGTTTGCATTTAATATTTTGGTGACATGATATCTCAGTGTGGTTTTGATTTGCATTTCCCTGATGCTGAGTGATGTTGAGCATTTTTTCATGTGTCTGTTGGCCATTTGCATGTCTTCCTTTGAGAAATGTCTATTCAACTCTTTTACTGAGATATTATCTCACCCCAGTTAGACTGGCTAATATCAAAAAGACAGAGAATAACAAATTCTGGCGAGGATGTGGAAAAAGGGGAACCCTCCTACACTGTTGGTGGAACTGTAAATTAGTGCAGCCATTTGGAAAACAGTATGGTGGTTCCTCAAACAACTACAGATAGAACTGCCATATGATCCAGCAATCCCACTGTTGGGTATATACCCAAAGGAATGGAAATCATCATGTCAAAGGGATACCTGTACTCCCATATTA